AGGCACTGGATTCCCACATGGCTGACCGCAGTTCAAGTCCCAGACCTGGCGGCTTGCTTTCTTACTTTCTCTCTATCTCTGTCTCTCTCTCTGGGAAGTGCACATGCCCCAAAGCAAATTGAAACATACTGATAATAATAAATAAAAGATTCTTTGAAAACTTCTAAAAATTGTTACTTATTTTATGATTCTTTTTAAAGAGGGACTTTTTTTTTTCTTTTGGAGAGGTTTTCGCTATAGGGCACGTGCGCTCACCAGAAAGACAGAGAGACAGAGAGACAGAAAGTGAGAAATCACCCCCCTCAGGGGGATGGCCACGCCTCAATCCCTTCTCCTCCATTCTCCTCTCGGGATCTTGGGCACGCACGCACACGCGCCCGGCGTGAGTTCTAAGCCACCGGGTCCGGGACGTGAACCACGGTCGACTATGTGGGAATCCAGCGACATAGCCATTACGCTAACTGTTGGTCCCAAAGAGGGACTTTTTCTATAGGGTACATGCACTCTCCACAGAGACAGAGAGACAGAAAGTGAGAAATCACCCCCCTCAGGGGGATGGCCACGCCTCAATCCCTTCTCCTCCAATTTCGTCTTGGGATTTCAGGGCACACACACACACACACACGCCCAGCATGAGTTTCTAACTGCTGGGTTCGAGACTCAAACCACAGTCAGCCATGAGGGAGTCCAGTGACATAACCATTGCACCATCTGCTAGTCCCTATTTTTTAATTTAATTAATTAAGTAGTTAAAAATATGACCAGAGAGAAACACAGAGAAAGAAAGGAAAATGGAAAAGCAAGCCACCAGGTCTGGGATTTGAACTGTAGTCGGCCGTGTGAGAGTTCTGCACTTTAACCACCATGTCATTTGCCAGCTCCTATTTTTTTATGTTTAGATATTTTTACCATAGGGTACATGCCTTTGCTGGGGTGAGAGACAGAGACAGAGAGATGGAAAGTGAGAAATCCCCCATCCCCCAGAGAGGATGGCCACACCGCAATCCCTTCTCCTCCATTCTCCTCTCCGGATCTTGGGCACGCACGCACATGTGCCCGGTGTGAGTTTCAAACCACCGGGTCCAGGACTCGAACCGCAGTTGGCCATGTGGGAGTCCAGTGACATAACGGCTATGCTGGCCCACCATTTTCACAGATTTTGAAGCATTTCACCCGTGCACGACACTTTATAATGTCTAAGGCTGATCTCACGGGGGCCCGACCCTTGACAGTTTAAAAGGCCTGGCCTCCTGCGGCCCCCACTGCCACCATTTACAAGATCTGGCCTCATCCCACCAAGCATGATACAGTTTGCAGCTAACACAGTCTTGGGACCAGGAGATGGCATAATGGTTACGTCCCTGAACTCCCATGTAGCCGACCACAGTTCGAGTCCCGGAACCGGTGGCTTAAACTCACGCCGGGCGCGTGTGCGTGCGTGCCCAAGATCCCGAGAGGAGAATGGAGGAGAAGGGATTGCGGCGTGACCATCCCCCCTGGGGGGTGATTTCTCGCTTTCTGTCTCTCTGTCTGTCTCTCTGGAGGGCACGAAAAACCTTAAAAAAAAAAAGAAAGTGACAGTTCTGATCACTCTGTCCTGACACACACATTGGGTAACATAGGGGACCCACAGCCAGGGTCCTAACCCACCTCCAATGGCTCTCATCGGGCCAGGACACTCCCTGACCCACACCTCCTCTGGGACTCCCCCAAGGACGCCCTTAAGCTGGGAACCTGCCCCTTGAGGACCAGCACAGAGATTCGGCTGGGGTCCCCCAGGGGTCTAGCCACCTCCAGGACTCCAAGGTTCCCTCCCCACCCCGCTCCAAAAAAAAAAAAAAAACCCTCCC